CCTGCCCCCCGCCTGCAGCCGCGCGGGTCCCGCCCGGCCCGCTCCGCAACTTCGCCGCCCGGCGCGGGGACCAAGCAGCGCTAGGACCCCCAGGCGGCCCTGCTCGCCTGTCAAAACACGGCTACGCTCACGTGGCCCGACAGCAGCCAATCCCCGGCCGGGGAGGAACTCGGTTGCCGCAGCAACGAGCCCGAGTCTGACTGGGGCCTGGGCCCGGCGGCAGCCTGTCAGTCGCGGGCCCTGTGCAGGGAAGCCCGGCGGGCAGCAGCGGGGGCGGTTCAGCCTTCCCAGCCTGCACGGGGCTGGGCCCGGGTCCAGAGCGGGACCCCAAGTGCTGAGATGTACACGGACTCCACTGGGCCAGCCCTGCATGGCGACCTCTCCTAGATTTCATAGACATGCGGGCTGGAAGGGACATGGTGAGATCATGGGGTCCGGCCCGTGCCCCAGGGGCAGGAAGGCAGCTGGGGTCAAAGGCTCCTAGCAAGATAAGTTAGGGTATCTCCTTGTTGTGAGACACCTCCAAGAGCTCAATCTTGCATGGAAACGCCCCTCCCACTAAGGACACAACACCTCTTCTCCCCCCCAAGGCACTCCTTTCTTTGACCAGGCTTCATGTAGCAATTCTCCTACCTCAGGCAAGCAATGGCTGCTACCTGCTGCTGCTCAGCCGTTTCTTCAATCCATCCTAACCCCAGGGTTTTATAGACAACATCTGCAAACAGACCTTCGCCATGCTAGGATTCATGTAGACCAGCGGTTCCCAAAACTGGACAGATTGGGCACCACCAATTTAAAAGATACTCCCTTAAGTACCACCAGCAAATTTTTGTCATGTAAAGTAATTATAATCAATCTGTTAATGTGTACCCAGCAGGTGGTCTGCGTACCACTGGTGGTACATGTGCCATGGACTGGGAACTGCTGATGTAGACAGTCTTCTCCTCCACCTGTAACACGTGCAGTCAGGCTCCACCTGCTATGGCAAAGAGCCATGCCCCTCCTAATATGGTCCAACAGCATCTATTCTTCAGGTTCAACACCAGTTTTTCCAGAACTTGCACCACATGTATGACGAATTATTCTAAGCTTCTATGCTTATAGTGTCCTGTCCACTCCTCTTCCTATGGTCTTCCTTATGGCTCAGCTGCCAAAAGACTGCAGCATAATGTAGGATACTTAAAGTCTCAGGGCAACATTATCCTGTACTGTTCACTTCACTTTGCTTCTGGCATATATATATTTCACATAAACTGTACCCATTTCTTTCTCTGGGAATATTGAAAAATACACATCTATATCTTGTGAAAACATTTCAGAGAAAAAACTAGCCAGCAATCTTCCCTGCCTCATTGTGCTCATCGCCAGGAATGCATAAGCAAGTGAGAGGGTGTCACAAGCAGTGCTTTGATATTTAGATTAATAAATGAGCAAGTGTCACGCTCATGCTGCTATGCCCTAGACTGGCTTTGTAATTATAGATCTCAAAGCTCTCCACCGGATGCAGTATAATTGCAAAGATGACAATCCTGAAATACAAAAGGAGGAATCTGACTGAGCAACAAGGGCTGCAGATGTATAGTATATGAATATGATTGAGACACATATCTGAATCTCTCCTACTGGTGACAACCATCTCAATGAAAAATGACATCCTCTGTGTCACACACAACCGAATCCTATATATGGTGTTGCAAACTGGTGTAGAGTCTGTTATAATGTTAGTTTTATAACTAAAAATCTTTACTATCATTAAGAAAATTACTTTGTAACTACTAACCTTCATTTAATGACTGACTAAAGATGAATTAGAACTTTTAATTACTCTTTTTACCAGGAACAGACCAGAGCCACAAAGCTCTCACTTATACCCAGACTTTCCTCAAACATTAAAATGTTCAAAACTTAGGATTCATTTGAGTTCATTCCTTATTTGTGTTTGTTTGTTTGTTTGTTTTTAACAGAGGCTATTTTTTTGGAAAGACTGACACTATTAGCAGGTGGCTCACAGGACTTTATGCTGATAATTATTGAATTGACACTCCTAATTTTTCCTTGATTAACAGGCCACAGCCTGAGTGCTTGCCACTCACTTCAGGTAGAAGGTAAAGTACAGTTACACCTCAAGTACATGCACTTCAGCTATCCCTGCTTTGAAGGGAATGGGAGCTGTGGGTACTTAAGGCATCGGAACATTTGAGATCTGATGGTGAGGTCCTTATGAACACATACCCTTAAATTGAAGCAGAAAAAGGAGGGGTACTGTCTCCACTCTCTCTTCCTTACTCCTTTCCTTCCTAAGTATTTCAGTAATCTTGCAACAAAGCTTAATGAGGCATACCATAATTGTTGCAATAGCTAGGCACAATGAAAAGACCTATTTTTATATGTGATGTCAACACAACTGGTCCAGCTTTTTCATAGAAAGAATACTTTACTTACCAAGAATTAACAGCATATGTAACATGAATGCTATATCTTCCACCCTCCCCACTGACATAGTCCTCTGCATTTTTCAGTTGAATAAAATTACCTCTTTAGGCTTAGGCTAGGGTCTGCTTTCTCCTAGAAGTGTTTTATCCCTGTGGCCTGAAGACTAGAAGAAAGGAATTGGCTAAAACAATATGGAAGGAGAGGACAGAAATGGAAACTCTGGGCAAGAAAGGCAGAAAAAAAGGAGACAGAAAGATAGAAGAAAGTGGGCTGAGGACAAAGGGAAAAGGACATGTTCAGAACAATAACAGAAGGAAGGAAAAAAAAACATGGGACCTGGGGGAAAGGCAGAAGGTGGAGAAAAGTGTGGAGACCAAAAATAAAAAATATTAGAGGGTTAAAACAAGGGAGCCACATGCAGGAAGGCAAAAGTTGCAGGAAATCCAGTCAACGGGCATCAGTTCCCACCTTCTGTCACAGACAATAATTGCTAAAGAGTCAAAAGGCGGAAACCTGACCAAATGTTGTCATAAAAAAAAGGAAGAGGGGAAGGAGAAAGTTCACTCGTCTTGCAGGGGCTGGATGTGTTCAGGAAGCATATTACTCAGCTATGGTAGGAGGTAGGAGGAAAGAGGAGAAAGGCAAAATGACACACAGTAGGGATATAAAACATGGGCCTGAAATGTAACAGGAAAGTTACAATGATTTTGAGGGCATACAAGCAGGGTGTTCTTACTATAATATTAAGATAGTAAATCAGCAGCTATGGTACTGCAACCCATTCCTTGTACAAACAAATTCCAAATGATGATCCCTGTATGAATACACAAAAAGAAACAGAGAGAGACAGAAGGTGGAAAACTCTATGGCACAAATTGGTTTAAGTATGAGAATGCCAATACATATTAATTATTTGGGGCTTTTGTTAGTACAAAAATATTAATTGCATTTGGTTTTGATTTGAGAAATTATATCCCATTAAAAAATCCAAATGCAAACTTTCATGCAAGAGTGCCAGATCTCACAAAGCCGTGTGGAAGCACTAGGGGAATTTTAGCTATCCTAACACTGCCAAGTAGAAGTATTATAAAAAAAACAGGCAAACAAAGAAAGTGTCCTTGGGGTGAATGCACAGCTGTATTAATTCACAGAACTCTTGCAGTTTATGCCACGAGCACAGTTCCTGGAGTGAAATATGTCTTAAAATGTACCCCAGTGATGTTTCTTATTTCATAATTGTCAGGGCACATTCAGGGACATGATGTCTTATGCTGCAAACCAAAATTCCTATGATTTCTGAAGACAGTTAATGCCTGTTAAGTGACGTGACACTACTGCTTTGGCTTAGCTGCTACTGTGCTGTAAGAGTACCATCTGGTACTCAAATATCACAGCAATGGGTACACTATGACAATCTACATAGAAGAGAAAAGGAAAAGCAGTTTCACTGAAATAAAACTGAGTTTTCTAGCACACCATAAAGAAACTGCTGTAACGTTATCATCATTGTCAATGATCAGTTTTAGAAGGAGCATGAAGCAAGAGTGAGAAAATATGTTTGTAGAGACCTATGAGTTAATCGGAATTCAGGAGCTAGCTGTTAATCAGACCAGGGAAGTTACAAACCATTGCAATTAAAGCAGCAATGTGTTCTGATTCTCTGTGTGGGTTGCAGGGGCTTACAACCAGAGCTTTTTGAAATTCCCCAATATCTGTAAATAGCAAACAAATCTAGTTTAATGGAAGAGCATTGTTTCTGTCATGAGCCTCTAAAAATGGTACAATTACCTATAATCATAATAATAAACATAAGTTAAAAAATAGACTTAATTTCTTCTCTCTATAATACTGTTCTCAAAGATGGTGATGAAGCGGGGAACAAGCCTAAAGGAAAATGCACAAGCAATCAATCAGCCCAAGGCCCATTCCACAGAGAGTGGTGGTGGGTCACACATGAAGGTCAGCTGAACAAACTTCATGCTTTCTCAGTTTGAATGAGTACCCATATCCAGTCCTAGAACACACAGCATTATCTGTCAAAACTCAGTCTTTAAATCAGAAGTTACAAGCTATTTATATACCATATTAACCAATAATTTCAGAGCAGCAACCAACTTTTTTTTGCTAAATTCCACTTGTCTTCTACCCAAAAAAGTCAGTTTTAGAACTATTTTTGAAATAGAATGTCCATTTATTTTTGAAATAGAAAACCCAGGAAATTTTAAGAAACAACATGATTTTGTGGAATATTTTAGTTTCTTCAAAGTGTCCTTTCTGTCTT